CCAGGAACCAAATATATTTTGCTCAGGTAAGCAGTTAATGAAGTGCTTCAATACAATATTTTTTAACATGCTATGCTTGAAGTTTTGAATCTGTCATTTTTTAACTTCACTGAAAGATATATAACTCATCATATTAAAACAAGTTAATACTATGATGGAATGTGTATGTGTGCTTTATAAGGACACATTATATGAAAATAAAGTTATGTGTTAGTATCACATAATTCATTCTGAACCTAATATAAGTTACCATGAACTTGTGCATTAGTAGAAGTATAATGCAAAGATTTAGTTGCTCATGTATAAATATCAATAAAATAATATATATATAAAACTATTCATAAATGTATTACTAAATTTTATAGGATTTTAGTGAATGGCTTTCATGTTTTGAAAAAGAGGCCTTAGAGTGGTTATGTAAACTGAAAGAAACTAGTGAAGATCATGCTGAATGTAATGTAATAAAAGAACAATTAGAAGAAGTATCATCAAGGTTACAGAAGCTAGAGGTGGAGAAACAGAAGATAGAAGTGCAAGCACAGCATTATAAAACTGCCTTAGCAGAAACAGTAAGTTGGTGATGTTTTTTTCAGCTACTGATCATGGTGGTTTTTAAATTTTGTTTTATATGTTCAGTATCACTTAATAATTGGTTATCTTTAAAAAAAATGGTCTGGCATGGCTTGGTGGTTAGAGTACTCAACTCGCAATCTGTGGGTTCAAATCCCTGTCCCACCAAACATGCTCGCCCTCTCAGCTGTGGGGACATTATAATGTGATGTTCAATCTCATTATTCATTGATAAAATAATAGCTCAGACTTCTTCAAAGTTTATTCTCTGTTTAGTGGAGCATATTGCAAAATGTTCTGAAGATGATTAAAGCTTGTTCCTTATGTATTCCAGAACTTTATAAATAGGTCCTTTAGACTTGTGTAAATTGTTTTTTTCTTTTTCATAAGGAAAGCATTCTAAACAAGTTGCAGAATAGTGTAGAAGATGAAGAAAAAATCTGGAGAGAAAAGTTAAATACAAAAGATCAAGAGCTTCAGAAGGTATGTATTTGTTTGTGTGGAACGTGTTGTTCATGTAGTAAAGAAGCAACAAAAAATACAAATGAAATAATTATTTGCATCACTTGTAGGTTGTGTTCATGTAAGAACTGTTTTTTGACTGCATTTTACAAACTAAATAAAGAGATTGGTCAATGAAATGAGACCAATTTTTTAATTCTTTTTTCCCCCATTTTTTGAAAGTGTTAGAAATATCTTGTTCAAAGAACATGAAAATATCAAGATAGATTATTTGTTGAAAATATAGAATCTAGTACTGAGAACAGTAATAGCAATTTTTTCATGCATTTGTTTCCTAAATTGTCTGGAAAACTGTTCTATTTGGAGACATCGAAGGAAATGTGTGAGAGTTGGAATTGTGAAAAAAGAAAAACCTGATAAAAATATATATTTGATATTTCACCATTTAACTCTCTGGCAATGAGGTTGGTCAATTCAACTTCATAACCATTTTGTACTCATTATAGTTTCTGTACCATAACTTTCATTACAGTATGTATAGCTTCACAAAATTTGCCAGAATTTCAAACGTTTTTTTTTCAGTAAAACTTTTTTTGTATCTGTTATTTTCTCTACCCTAACTCTATAGAAGGCTGGTCAAATTGACCAACCTCATAACCACGAAAAAAAATCTATATTACTCTTTTTTTTCTTTCTAGAATGACTTCAAATTGTAACTTGAAACTACCTTCGTTTTTCCTAAGTAGCTTTAAAGTCATAACAGTATACCTCTATTTATACTTAAATTTTATTGTTCTGCCCTTTAAACTGTCTAACTACTATTTGTGCCATTATAAGTTGTAAATTGCTTGGAAACCATGCAGCTTATGTTATGCTATCAAATTACATTATGCATGAGCTGCTTGTGAATGTGCCTCATTAAAAGATTGTAATTATATTATTATTTATTTTACCTAATCTAACTTTTAATTAAATAAAACATCAAAGAACATAGACTAATAACATGCAAACTGCAGTACATGTTCCATAACTATCACAATGTTTCTGGCTTTCTAAATGTGACAAGAGCTGTTATAAACTTAGCTAAACTCACTGATGTTTTTTTCTGTGGGAATAAAGCTTGAACTGGAAGTGGAACTGATAATTCCCTATACAGAAGACAATGTTATATGATACATCCTTTGATAGAGTAAAACCTTGGCTTTCTAGTGGTTATAAATAATATGGTATTGAATGTCAGAGAGAAGAACTATTGGCAATTTCCGCAAGAGGATGTGATCAGTGTATATGGTAAGAAGGGTCTGATTTTCTATTGGTGGCTCTGTAACCAAATAAGAATGAATACTATAAAAATTATGCTTTACTTGAGTGATGACAACATTATAATTAGTAATTTATGTTAAATTTTGTACCTTTTAAAGAGGTGGTAAATAAAAAGTAGAGAAAAGGAGATGCCTAGAGTGAGAAAATGTCAATTCTCATACTAGGGAAAATTCAGGATTTTTTATTTTATTTTTTAAATTAAGAACTTACACTTGCATACTATTAAAATATTGATAATTAGCTACATTTTATGTTATTCTTATTGGTATATCATGATAAAAAAAAGTAGTTTAAATTTTGAATGAAACTCACTAAAACTTTGTGATATGGGAACAAAAGGATGCTCATAGTGAGAGAGTTAAAGAACTAGACTGTTTGCTACTTCCTAGCTCTGTCCCTCAGTGAATAAACTATCATTTACAGCTTTTTTTGTCTTGTCTGTACATTTGAAGTAACTCTTCTATTTATATTATGTTGTCTAGGCACTTAAAGAAAGAGAGAGGTTAACAGAAGAAAAGCAGACTCTTGAAAACAGTCTGCAGAAACTGGAGGGTTTTGAAGAGGTAAGCTTTGTATTGGTAACAATCCACACCTTTCAGGTAATATATATGTATCTAAATGTTTTGAATTATGGTTTGTTTTGCTTACTAATTTAGAATGTGAAATTTGTTACTTAATACTATCCATTATGAATGTGAGCATGTGTTCCATTTACAGCAGATATTTGAGCTGTGCATGTTGTGTTCATGTTTTAACAAAACAAAAGTTTCATGGAATGATAAGGCAAAACTACAGGCCAAAAATTTTCATTCACCATGATATACTTAAGTTTATTAAAGTATTTTCATTTAACAGAATCTTTTGGCAATTTTAGAAAAAAGGTCCTGTTATTTCGGCTAATTATTTATGTAAATGCAATCCTTTGAATAATATGTGACTTATTAAAAGTCCTGTAAACTCTTTATTACAGATACCTGAAGTACTTTTCATTGTTTTAACATCAGGAAATTGTTTCAGAACATTTAAAAATAATACATTTGCCTCTAGAAAATTAACTTAAAACATTTCTATCAAAAAACACTTTTTTTCAGGGTGGTATGAACTTCTCTAAGGTGGAATTTGAGAATATTTGTTTATGTATATATTTTGTAAAGTATATTAACAGTAAAGGCATTGTTTATAGTATACCACCTTACAGACGACATTAAGTATTTTACTACATTTAAAATTATGTCACTACGTCATTTAGTTTTGTTGTTGTTGTTTTCTGTTCAAGCAGATGTTGCTACTGCTTTAATGATTTGAAAAAAAAACTTCTCCATTTAATATGTTTGCATATAATGTTTTTTTTTTGTTGTTGTAGCATCTCAAATGTGTGAGAAAATCTTCATATTTTTTGTGTAATATAAGCCGTATTCAAAAACAACAAGGGACATGTTGAAAGGTCGTAAATAGAACTGTGGGTTGTCCATGCTTCTTCTTTTTTGTCTTCTCATGTTGGGCAGTCAAAATATAATGAGAATATGCCTCTTGTACTTGAGAATGTAATCTTAACTTGTTTAAGTTTCAAGTACTTCAACCTTTGACAAGTAAAATGTAATACCAATATTTCTAGGAAGTTTTTTTCTGAATTCATATTGTTTCATGCTCATAAAAGAAACTTGAAATCATCAAAAGGCATTTGGATGTCATAATTTCAAGTAATGGAAATTTAAAAACTTTCAACATATTGAGAAATTCTTATAAATTAGTTGATGTTTTTAAAATTTAATCTTTTGTTTTTCTTCCACTTTTGCAAAATCTCAAATTCAAGTTTGAATACTTTGTTTTGGTTTTAGTCACTTCATGAGTAACTTAAGTTGTATATATTGACAGAGTAAAAGAGACCTGAAGGTTCAGTAAGTTTATTTATGTATTTTTAAAACAATTTTATTACCACAGTGTTCTTTGCATAGTAGAGCTATACACATGCATTCCGACAGTCTGTAATATTAACCTGGCTATGGTGGTGGGAGTTTTTAATAACCTGACACATCTATATATTTATGTTCTGTTACAGGCAACTTCTGAGGTATGTGGAGTGAAATTTGCCTTTAGTTGCATAGAAAAGACTCTTCCTAATATATTAAATGAGGTATGCTGCTTATTCAGAATATGAAAAGTTTTATGGCATGCCAGAGCCTAACATCCAATATGACTCTCTCTCTGAGTATCTAACTTGAAATTCTCAGGTTTCTGGTTCTCTCTCTCTCACTCTCTGCTATGCAGGTGGCTTTCGTAACAGATCATGTAAAAAAAAAAAGTGATGTTTTGATTTTGCATAGAATATCTTAAAGTTTCCACTGAAAGACAATTTTGATGTATAAATCTTAAAAGTATATATACACGAGTTGTGGTTAAACAAATGAACCCCTCTTATCTCTTCATATTACATACTAGGCTAATTTGGATTGTATTTAGCTTAAAGCTCTTAATTTCCTCTGATTTAAAACACAAAAACAAATTGTCTGGTTTCAACAGTAACAATTTTCAGAAATAGTACTATAATGTTGAAGTATTCTGTTACTTGGTTGGTTAATTTGTATATTTTCTACTATTGAGATTTTATCATCTTATAAAGCATTTATTTAAATTGAACAACAGTTTGATACCCTGATATTCTTTAAGGAATGAAATATGGGTGAGTTTATGAAATGCAGGAAAGTTTATGTATGCTTAATTCTAAAAACACTGGGTTAACTCACCTACTTGAGAGATTGTCTTGAAAAAAAAAAAGTGCAAATATTTAAATAAGTATGATTATTATTTTATTAAGTGTTCATACCTTTTGTATTAGTACTCACCTTTTTGCTATTGATATCAAACAAGAAAGACAATTCCTTTTGCTAGTAGCTTTACTAGTCTGTTATATAGAGAGATAGGAATAGTTACTTATGGACTGCACACTTACATACATGTGACTGTGCCCTACACACTGTGCATGTGTTTAGCGTACAATTACCCCATATCTATTTACAATGGCTGTATTTTTCTAGTTGGATATCACTCAATGTTAACCATATTTTCCCCTTATAAATCTGTTTTAGATATAAATCATGAATAGCTTGAAATCGAAAAGAACTTCAAATAATGTTGTTCAACTTCATAGATAAAAACTGATGATGTTAAACAACTTTGTTTACATTGTTTTTTGCTAATCTTTATTAGTAAGAAATAACTGAATAATAATTTCAGAATTATTTATACTTGTTTAAATAGTGGTTTTTTTGTTCACACTTAACATTTATTAATGCGGTAATTTTTTATCATTGGAAAGTCCTATATTTTTTTTTTTACTTTTCCAATAGCCAAACATTCTTTGCTCATTTTCTTCACACGTGAACCCATTGCATGTGTTAAGCCATCTGCGAGAATAGTATTACATATCTATAGCACCCTCGATGTTGGCCACATCCTAAATTTTTATTTTTAAGAGTAAAAATGAATAGTTAATTTGTTGATAACATCACAAGCAAAATTTAAAATTACATTAGCAAAATAGGCTTAAAGAATATAGTTTAGTTTGACAAAGTTATCTTTGAGAAAATTAGGCCTTGTGATAATATCATGTTGGCAAATTAATGGTTGATGGATTTGAAGGTGTTAGAATTAAACTAAACCATGTGTTTTGTTTATCAGATTACTATTTGTTCTTTGCAATGTTTAATTGAAAGTAATTCCTGTTGAACTGGTGAAGTAAGCAACAACCTATGCTTAAGAAAAACCTTGCTTTTAGAAAGATACGGAGTTCTCCAATCTTAAGTTTTATGATCAAACAGAATGTCCTATTAATATTAGAGTAACTGTATGCATTGGGTGTCCTTTATTCATAAGGTTAAGAGTTGTCAGATTTTGGCAGCTTATAAGCAGTAGATCTTTGTGATTAGTTGTACCTAATGACTCCATAAAATCAACTTAAAAGTCACATAGAGTTGGGTTTTGTTTTGGTCAAGCTATTGGCTTGGTATTGTGTTGTGTACTAAATTCAAAGTAATGTTAATCCATAGCAATAGTAGTAATTAGGCAAGCTGACCCTTTAAAGTCAGTGCTAAAGGCCATACAGAGCTCATTTTCATAGGTTTTGTTTCATTTGTTATTGTCAGATGTTTTCCACTTAAGTCTCATACTTATGGATTAAATTCAAAGTGAACTTGAAATCAAGGGTTGTGATCATTTTATTACCTATTATGAAACTGTCAAAGAGTGTTAAGTACTTGGTATTCACTTTTTTTTTTTTTTCTTAGATAAACTAATTCACAAATTTGGATTGGTTATCATATCAAACTTGCAGGCTTAAACTTTCTGACTGTAATGCAATAAAATGAAAATCTTTTGGTGTTTAAAATTTTGTTGAAATATAGGTAAGAAATGCAACTTTTCTTTGGAAGTTTACAACTAGCAATAATCATCTAACTTAATATGAATTTCTTTTCCAAACCAAAACATGAATTTCAGAGAAGAAAAGATGACTTAGAGACCTAATCTATCCTTTTATTCACTGCTTCTGCTGTAGCAACAAGTATTGTACTTCAAAACCAAACAAAAATTGCTAGAATTTCATCACCAAATGAGGCCAGTTTGTTTATTTGCTTTGCTCTCAAAGTAGCACTAATGAGCTATGAATGTGCTTTGGAAGTAGCAAATCAAACAATAGATTAGGCCTGTATATCATATTTTCTTCACTTCTTTTGGTGAAGAAAAGATATTCACAAATAAATCAATAACTAGTTAGTCCACAGAATAATAATGTAATGGTTTTGTTGTATTGAAATTGGTACTTTCTATGGTAATTCTTGTATGCTGAATCTGAAAATGATACCCATTTTTCTCCATCACGTACAGATTTTTCACAAAATCATAGTGCAAAACATAAAAGAAAGACCACAACATGTAGTTTGAGACTAAAAGATGTAGATTTCACAAAAAAAAATCGAGATGAATGAAGATACATATTTGTTTAACATCAATATTTTTCCCTTTTCTTCAGTTTGTTTGTATTTTTGTTAAGAAATATAATAATTAAAAAATGTTCATTGTGGTGAACGAAATAATAATTTGATCTTAGTAAGAGTTTTTTGTTTTGTTTTCTTCCCGATTTGTAGAAAATCCTTACGTGATAGAAAAAATAAATATTTTTGAAATATGAGTAGCTGAATCATAGAAAATCAGTTATTAAAACCAAAACCACTTTTATAAAGTTTAAATTTGCAGGCCTGTGTAATTAGTTGTGATGGTATGTCACATGTTAACTTAACACCTAAAGTAATTTGGGTCATTAGTGGTGTTTTAAGTTACTAATGGTGAGTAAAGGACAACATATCAAGACCAAATACGTGACTTGTTCACAACTTTATAAATTATGTTTGTGTATTAAAAAACGACTTGTGTTATAAAAATAAAATACAAAAACTTTAGTCATTCTGTAAAGATTTAAGTCTGTTTTTACTAATGAATATTTTTTTAGTTAAGAAATCTTAGTACATTATTTATAGTTATATTCATAATTGAAAAATAAAAATAATATTTGAATAAAAAATAGTAAAAAATAAAATGTTTTGTGAAAATTTCTTTTAGTGACTGTATCTAACTTAAATATTTAATTGGACAAATTAAGTTGTATGTAAACTTCTGACAAAAGAAAAGTTAAGTCAAACTGATAAGCTGGATCTAATTTAAATTAAACTCTGAACAACATGCAAGTCAGTGGCTAGAATTTGACGTCATTCAAGCTAATTACTTAAAATTCTTTGGGCTAAATCTACCTTCATTCCAAGAACTAATGGTTTTCACAGAACTAAATCTGACTTAATTTAAACTGATATTTAACTTACAAGACTGAATTATCATTATTAAAATGATTGTGATGTGGTGAATATAATGAATTTGTTTACCAAAAAATAAGGTAAAACGTTATCTTAGTATGACATTAATAAAAGGTATGGTAATGAAGGTTTCTGAAATTCTGTAACGTTTAAATATTTCCAGCTTTTTTTGCCTCTGAAGGTGGTTTATAAAGCAGTGTTTTGGCTAATTTGATGAAAATTTCTGGATAAAAAAACATCTGTAACATTTACTTAAAACTGATATTCAAACACAATCTCAAACAAAAACTTAGCAATGAGCATACAATTTTTAATTTTGCCTATGCATGCTTGAGCTTGGCAGTGTACAGTTTGTATGCAATTCATTTCTCTGAAGGTCGTTTTGCATGCACCAGAGTTTTTGTCATCATGCTGTTGTGTCCAAACCTACAATGCATGTTGAAAGAAAATTGTAATATTAACTGTTAGCATGAAAGACTTGTTCTGTTAATTTTTACAGTATTGTTGCATGTTATGGTTAATTTCATACTTACTAGAAATATTCCCAAAGGAAACTTTTGACATCCTTTTCTTTAAAAATAAGAAACTTGGAACATTTTGTTTCTATCTGAGTATGCTAATATTGTATTTTAGTAGTTTTTTTATTTACTTAAATTACAAAATCAAGAAGTTTTTATTCCTTTTTCCACCAATCTAATACTGATTGTTAAAATGAAATAAGTCCAGCAGTTGTACATTTAAAAGAAAAAATACATAAAATAATGTGGAAATTACTTGGCAATAAATGTCATTTATACACTATTTTAAACTTCTAGAAACTTTACACTTTACAGTTAATTTGTAAGCAAACTGCCTACTTGCCAGTTTGTCGGAGCTTTTTTAATTTTCAAGAGATAAATAGAAACTTGGGCTAATATTTTCTTTTCTGAAAAAAGAAAGTAATAAAATTATATATAGCAATAAGAAAAAGCTCAATTTTTTGATATTTAATTGTTATGTAATAAATTAACCAACTTATTCTTAGAAGTTAACATACATTGCAAATGAATTGATATGAAATCTTGTTTTCTTTGTGGTAGAGCTCTGTATTTTGGATATAGTGAGCTGGGTTTGAATCTGTGTTATAAAAGTGACAATCATTACTATTGAATGTGTTGTAGAATGCTGCTGACTGGCTGCCTTCTCTCTGGTCAATAGTTCAAAATTAGGGCTGGCAGCAGATAGCTGTATTAGCTATGTCTTAAAGACATTAAATTTGGCTTAACACATTCACAATCGCCTTGGAGATCAGTACTCATTCTAGGTGCCTTTGGCCTTTTTTTATTAGGAGCTTTTAATAATGCAAAATAATATCAGAGTATTGATGGGCATATATGCTTATTCAACTAAAATCTGCACCATGACACACATGAACATCATTGACACTGCATCTAAAATTTTATTTGAGTGCTGCATGATGCGCATGTGTGCCATCTTTTTTTACATATATATATATCTTGTCATGGTTTTTGAGTATGTTTTGAGTGCACGAAAGGGTAAATTATAGTCTTAGGAATATCATGTTTGAATATGTCCAATGTGAATCAACAACCCTAAAAAACTTTCAGCTTATCAACAATAATAACCTTTCATTGTGTAATGCATAAATTTTATTGGTTCAACAAAGAAATAACTTTTCAAAATATTTATTGGTTTCAATAACTAAAAGGTTGTAAAATTTCTCATTAGCAAGCAAAGAGAAAAAACTGAATGGAATGTCAACTTTTAACCCTGGAGTTC